TGCTACTTTAATGTATTAGAGGTTAAGAAACAAACAATTTGATCCCAACAGGTTTCCTTCTCCTGTCTTTCAAATAAAAGAGCTTTCAAATCCACCAGTACAAATCCTTCTCCGAAATATTTTGAAGTGCCCAGGCATTTATTGTGCTTCATTACTTCAAAACTGACAGCCAGACCCTCAAATTGTAAATTTGGTAAAGCAACATTCAATCCAATGGAACTATGCCAATTCGCATTGGCCTATAATCTATTTGGCTCCTTTTACTATTAACAGACCAGCCACATCGTTTTATAATGTCTTCCTGCTGCAAAACTAAACCTCTTGAAAAAAAACTGTACATCTAATACCACTGTTCATTTACTTTTATCCACCAGAATTGCATAATGTGGTCTTAAATAAGCAACTGGTACCTGTCCATAGTATAAACTCTAGGTAACAGCATTTTTCCAGGCTCTGCTGAATTCTTTTCAAATTTCAGGGGGATGTTTGCACTTGTCCTTTCTTATGACAGCTGGTTTTGCCTCCCAGAGTCTTTCAAGTAAAGAAAAATTAACTATTACTCAAAAAGACAGGTAAGTTTTGAAATATTTCAAGAACTTTAGTTTCATTCTGTTCTCACCATAATTACTGTCCTTCTCCCAGGAAGGATGGCTTGATTCTTTTGGAAAAGTACCTCTCAGACTTTGATAGCCTATGGGCAGAAATATTGGGCAAATGTAAGGCTGCTCATGCCACCACAGTTCCCTCATTTGACTTCTGCTTTGATTATTTGAATTCATTGTGCTTGCAAGCACTATGAATACTTCAAGTCTTATGTCTGCTTTCCCCTCCTTTTATTTATTGTATGTAAGAAGTATGGAATCTCAAAGGCAAGATTTAAATTTGGAATCAGAGAGGATATTTTGACTTCCTGTATCTTTTAAGTAGAAAGATCTGAGTTTCTCAATGCATTGCTAGGCGATGAATTTATAGAAAAGACTTAAAACTGCCTTTTGGTGTATTACAGAAGAGTCACCACAACTGAGAATTTGTTCAGAATGTTAAAATAAGGCACCCAAATGCTACAAGGCTTTACTCATACTGTGATGATAGCATCATCAAAATGGTAACATGGTATAAAAAAGTAGTAAGAAAATAATGAAATTATATTTTACTCTTTTCTTTAGGCTTATTTCAGTTAACTGCCTTCCTAAATTTATGGCAATTCCTGAACAGGCAGAGGTGTGGGACATCTCTACTGCTGCTATTTGATGGTACCTACAAGATCTCCATCACGGCTTTGGGCATTGCTGTGCTAGCACTGTGCAAAGAGCTATCATCACAAGATGCCTGCGCTTCCATTTAAGGTGCCTTCTAATTCCAGAATAGCCTTTTTAACACATGCGGAAGAGATTCTGCAGTGCAAAAGCAAGAACCTGGATCACTCCTAATGAATTAGCATTTGACTCGCAATAAATCTAACATCCTTCCTTCCAAAGGACAAAAGGGATGCAAATCTGTTTTCTTTATCCAGAAAAAAAATAATCTTAGTAATACAGAAATACTGTGACTTAGGAGTGCATCCACGGAGAGATGAAATTGATATGATTCTGTCTACTCTGCATAGTGTTCTAGCTATGTCAGCCCAATCGAAAACGTGCCTTATACAGCCAAGGAAGCTATTTTTAGATCTGAAATTGTATCCAGGTTAGAACTGGATTAGTAACAGCACATTACCTAACCTTTGAGGCGGAAGCTCTGGGCTGAGCCAATGCAAAGGTTCCCAGATGGGAATCATGCCCTCAGTGAAACATACTGTTGTACAGTAAAACGTGGTTTCTTGGCTGTGAATATTCATGTATTTATAGAAGGGAATTATTGTAAATTGAAATTACTTCGCTTCCCTGGAAATACTGGCAAATAATTGTTTGAGAAAGTAAGTTAAAGAGTACCAGGAAAAATGCAAAATTTCTCTTTAGAGGGAGCAGTTCCTCCCTTTTGGGAGCATTGTTAGATTCCAAGATATTTTTCTGTCCTGAATATGTGACTTCCAGAAAAGTAATTTGATGATTCACTGTAGAAATAAGTTCATTTAAGTGAAACTGGAAAAGAATCAAGATGACTGATTTCTAAGAACCCATGTTTGCATTAGGTGCAATAGGTTGGATTGACCTGAAATTCTTTCAGAGAAGAAAAACGGTGACATGCAGAAATGTGTAATTAAACCTAAACTCAGGATTCTGTATTTCTAAGACTGAGAGAAGGATAGAAAGTCAGAATCCAACTGTGATACCAGAATGCACAAATCTGTTTTACAGGAGAAATGACAGGGGAAAGACCATGCTGCACTCAGAACTAGTACAGTTTTCAGGAATGGGAGAAAAAGCAGGTGTTACACAGTAAATAACCACAAGACATGCCCTGATTGCTGGAACATGCTGCACCAAGCAGGAGCAGTGGCATGTGGGAAAGTGGAAGCAGGTAGAAGAGAGGTGCCAACATGTTGCTTAGCCACCTGATGAGCCTATCTGCCCTTTTTTCTGTCTTCAAATGCTCAAAAAGAGCTTATTATGGCCATTCAGGGTCTACAAATGTCAGCTGAGAATGATCTACGCCTTCAACATCTGTGGAACTGTTCCAGTTCTGGGCTCCCCAGTTCAAGAAGGACAAGGAACTACTGGAGAGAACCCAACGCAGAGCCACTAAGATGATTAGGGGTCTGAAGCACCTACCATAGGAGGAAAGGCTGAGAGAGCTGGGTCTGTTTAGCCAGCAGAAGAGAAGGCTCAGGGGCCATCTCATCAATGCTTATAAATATCTAAAGGGCGGGTGTCAGGAAGATAGGGCCAGACTCTTCTCAGCAGTGTCCAGTGACAGAACAAGGGGCAGTGGTCACAAACTGGAAAACAGAAGGTTCAACCTAAACATGAGGAAATAGATCTGTACTGTGAGGGTGGCAGAGCACTGGAACAGGTTGCCCAGAGATGTTGTGGATTCTCAGTCTCTAGAGACTTTCAAAACCTGCTTGGATGCGTTCCTCTGTGGTCTACTCCAGGGGATCCTGCTCTGGCAGGGGGGTTGGACTAGATGATCTTCAGAGGTCCCTTCCAACCCTGACCATTCTGTGATGCCGTGGTCCCACTGAACTTGCTGGAAGTGAAACTGCTTAGACCAGTGAAGATACAAAGCAACGGAAATCACAGCCAGCCACTCAGAACAACAGTGACTATCTGTAATTCAGTAGTTCCAGAGCTACCTAAATCCTGTTGTTCTGTTTCTCTCTGTCCTGTATATTTGGGAACATCCTCATTTTGCTTAATAAAATCTTGGAGCCTCAAAACCTAGATTGGCAGGGCAAAACCAAAGAAATGGATGACAAATTCTCATGGTAATATGTCCATTCACTCATAATCTCCCAGAACAGAAAATCACAAATAATTTCAGTGTTCTTCTGAAGAAGATACTAAATGCAATGATATACTTGGAGTAGAAAAATAAATGCAGCACCGAGCATTATCAGAACTTTTCATTATATCACTGATTTCAGTTGTTAAAGCAGCTAGTTTATAGCTTATCCATGAGATAAAAGTACTGAAATGTTCACAGGCAAAAACTTCATATGATCACATTAAAGAAAAGAAAATATCCTGTATGTAACATTTTAAAGAGGATAGTTTTTGCTGAAAAGAACTGAACAACACAAAAGGGAAACACCTGAGAGGAAGAAACATGTAGTCACAGCTGTCAGAAATTTTAAAGGTGAACTGTTTATCTGGGTAAATAATAATTGTCTTGTAGGGGTTCTGCTTTTGTTTTGGCAGAAAATTATTTATCCAACCAGTTAAGGCTTTTCAGATAAGGACGCTTTCCTTTATAAATATTTTGGTAGCCATGCTAATCTGGAAAATCTGTATCACTTTGCCTGCAACTGACTATACATTACAGGTGTAACAGGTGGATGATCTAATACTAGTGCACCTCTGGTATTTATTTCCAGATTAATCCATGTCAACAGATTTGCATTATGACTTGGGTGTAACCAGAGTGAGGAACGGGACAAATCCTCAAAGCTACTTTATGGTCACAGTGCTTTCTCTATTTCATTCTTCATCTTGAGGATATAGAGGCAGGCACACCTAACTACTAACATATACTACATAATTGCACAATCAAATCTGCTTCAGTTACCAACCTTACTGTCAAGCAGGCAGAACAGAAACCTCTTTTCCATTCAAATCTCTTGCTCAAGGGAGCAACCAAACAGGCCCTTTTACATGTCTATGCAAAAAAAAATAATTAAAAAACCCCATAAAGTTAACAAACTCCTCACCAAAAAGCCACAGTGTATCTCCAGAGTGACATATGAAATTTATCAAAATAAATAGGCTTGTTAAAAATCTTCATAGATCTATAGTCCTTGCATATTTTCTTGAATGCTAATCACACGATTAATATTTAAACAAACACAAGAATCTTTCAGATGAAGAGCCCTTTTATTACTGGTTTACATTTATGTCCAGTTTACCTCAATTGAAGAATTTTGAAGTTTCCCAGTTAGGACTTCTTTCTCTTTCTCTAGTTGCTTTAGTTCACACTCAGATTTTCTTTTAAACTCCTCTAGCTGTGCCTGGAGTTCCTAAAGTAAAAAATAATAAAAAAAGGAAAAAGGAAAAAAGCAAAAAACATGCAATTGCTGGGACAAAACATGCAGCATGAAAAAGAAAGAACATTTCTTCTACATTAACCTAGATAATAGAGCAGTTTACATGTAACACATGCTACAGTCTTTTAATGTCACTTGTGTTTTCTTCAACCAAAGAAGTATTAAGAGTTTGCTTTGGATCTTTCTAGTACGAGTCTTAGCTAATACAGCTCACATAATCCTAATCTTCTACTGAAAGCTTCCCTCAAGTGGAAAACTGTACAGCATGAAAAGCCATATTGTTTGCCTTGAGTGGTGCTAGTGTTCAAAAATAAATTAGTATATTCACGTAAAATAATATACTATATAAAAGGCAAGTCATTCTCATACATCTTATGCTTGATAGTATAACTGTGTATCTTCAAGAGCTGCATCTTCACATCCTGAACAAACACAAGCACTTTCACATTCAGATAAAATAATTTATTCACACAGGTTCCTTTCAGAGAAATGAGATTGCATAAATGTATAAACTTCAGCAGTTTCATAGGCAGAAATGAATCCTGATGAGCACTTAACACAATTCTTAGTCTGCAAAATCCAGAAGGTACTATGAAGCTCAACATTTAGTGATAGGAGTTGCAGGTTTTTTATGACTTCACAAGTTGTCCGTGAGCAATTTGATTATTTTCAAGTAAATGTTGAACTTGGAAAGGTATAGCAGCATTAAAACTGAGAAAAATGGGTAGAAGTACGTTCTTAGTGCCAAGAAGGGTCTAAGGAACACTTGACCAGTAGTCCAATTCTACAAATTGGTCTAATCAAATTTCCTTTTCTGCCTAGAAGATGCCTGACAAACACACAAGTACATCAGGACACAAACTAACCTCCTCCTCAGTTTACGCTGGAATTCGGCAAACCACTTGGGCGTGCATTGAGTTGTTAGCTTCACTAAGCATTAAAGCATGTGCTTAAAACTGAACACGTGTTTCAAGGTTTTCCTCTATTTGAATAGATTTCAGTTCACATTTAGCTTCCTACTGCACAGAAACATTACAGACTGCAAATTTCCTGAAGCCGAAGGATTCAGCCACAGGCAGCAGTTCTCATGAAAGTGAAATAAGAATCTCTTAAACTAATCTTAAACTGCTAAAGCTCAGCCACTTAAAACACATTGAAAAAAGGTATTGCTCAGGTGACCTCACTGGATCCATGAGAAGATGAGCATTCTTTCTGAGTAAAGTTAAATACAGACTTATATATATAAATATGTATATATATATACACACACACACACACATATGCATATATTTGTTTGTAACTAGTTGTCATTTCACTGATAACACCTGCACTCTAAATCCATTTACCAACACTTTTTAGAATTAGACTCTTTGCCTAAACAATGCAAAATTTTGATTAAATCAATGTATTTGAGTATTTCACAGCAGCAATCTATGGAAATTTGAGTCAGAAATAGAAATACACCTACAAAACATTTTTCTTCAGGAATGACATTATATTGATCACTTCAACTGTCACACGCAAAGCATGCAAGGGTAAGTGTGGCTAAGAAGACAGTTAATCACATGAGGGATACAATCACGTTCCTGCATGTGGAGGTTTTCATAGGAATACATCATTTTGACTCTTTTTTTTCCTTCTTTATTTTTCAGTAAGACCATAGCAAGAAAATCCTTGCATTTCATGTTAATTCAAAGTGCCTCCAGTGAGGATAATTCAAATGATGTCACTGTGACCAATAAGATTAAAACCAGATGAATTAGAGCATCTATAAATAGAAGAACATTCCTACCTTCTGCATTTTTTCTTTCAGCTTACATGAAGTTTCAGACTGGCTTCATTTCTTTTGTACAGTTTATTACAAAATATTCTAGCCCTTTTAATAGCTATTTCTGCAGGCAAATCTTTTCCTTATGGGACTGATGCTCTCTTTTCCAGAGCAAGTTCTCTATCTTTTATTCGTACACTCTTTTTTAAATAGCTACAGTCTCTTTATAGTCTCTAAAACACACTAGCTATATAAGATGACAAAACCAGGGTAGAATACTGGGGTTGCAGTAGTCTGTTTTGTAGGGAATGTGCTATTTAGGTGGATATACTCTACTGAAAAATACTGGCTTATGTTAGTTAATAATGTAGAACTGTAGTGATCCAGGGCTGTGTGCCTCTTCTGCAGTCCAGGGGTGGGGAATTTTGCTGTTCTGGACTGAGCTGGGGTGTGTGACTCAATTCCCAACCATGCAGGTTTCCTCAAGGAAAACCCTAGTTCTGTGAAATCTCACAAAGGACAATTTGGTTTTTGATATATCTCTGATGCTAGCTCTAATTTTCCAAAATGCTACTATAACAATATTCTAGAAGAACTAAAAAAGATAGAAAAGATTCACTACTGGATAATTGTTTAAGGGCAGACATTGTACAGAGGGAACTCTAAAGATACATACATACATTCCTAAGTGTACCGAATTTATTCCTGCTATTATTTTTGTGTCACTTTTCAGAACTGTTTTCTATATTTAAAAAATAAATAAATCAGTGTTCCAACTTGAGATCAACAGAGAAAGTCTGGCTTGGACCTTGTTCTCTAAGGTTTTGTTAACAGGAGTAATTGAACACTCTGCCCTGGTCCACCTCAAGGATGTCAGTAGTTCCTTTGCTGTCGCTGCAGCAGCTCATGTACTTCAGGTTAGGAACGTGACTCAGTGTTCTACTGGATGAGGTCAGAGATATGGGAATCCTACAGGACTGACTGCTGTAGAATAACCCAAAAGCCATTAATCTTAAATGAAAATTGATTTCAGTACTTTTGGCATGCCATGCGTTTGAATATTTGAGAGCAAACCACCTGTTTAAGTTCTTGCACATCTTCAGAGACACTCTTGTTCTGTCTCTGTTCAGTAAAAATCATTTGCTGCTGCTGTGTTATTTGATGTTTCAGTTGATCTACTCTATTAACAGCTTTGCTTTACGAATTCAACATAGTTTCCACATCTTCTGTGGTATCAAAATTTACATTTCAAATAGCATAAATAACTTGCAGAATTTCCAATGTGAGTGTCTACTAACAAGGGAAATATTTCAGAATGACATTAATGAGCATCTCACCTGCTTTTTGCAGGATTTCCTTCTCTTACCATGTATTTCTCTCTTTGACTAGGCTTAGCTCTTTCTCCACTTTTTTCACTACACCTTTTGATCCCAGAATTTCTTGTTGTGTTCCCTTAAGCTACACTTCCAAATCTTAAAATATGCATGGCATTACTTCTATGCTTATTATATATGTTCTTTTTTTTGTCATTTGGAATAAATGGTCATTTTCTCTCTCAGTGTAGTTCCATGATACCAACCTTTCACCTACAGAGCTGGTTTAAATGCATTTTTTACTCATCCATACCCTTAAACTGCCTCTATTCTGTTGCTAGAATATTTATAATGTGAAGCCATTCTCTCAGATGTAGTAGGCACTATAGGACAGCGAATATTTAACAGGAATTACCATCTAAAAGATACCTGAGATTATCTTACACTTGGATACAGGATATACTTCCATTAATTTCACAGAAACTTGTGTTAAATATTAATGAATATTAGGTGGTTTTTTTTTTCCCCAGTTACTAAAGTACAATAGTTTGTAACTTAATCCATAATAGAGATGCTTAAAACCAGAAAAATCAGCTCTTACAGGATTTACTGGGAATTGTCTGTCCATAACTGATGGCAAAAATTAAACCATATTTAACATTCTATTTCTGGAGGTTCTAGTCTCAGTTTCAAGATGGCTAACATAATATTGTAATACTCACTCAGAGAAAATTGCCATTACTTCCTATGTGAACGCTGAGCAAAACCTCATAGGTTGAAACCAAGTTGTATTTAACTTTCTCTGTAGTCAAAAACTTAAAGCCTGTCACCTTTGGTATAGGTCAAAATTCTTCTAAAATTAGACTGAGCAGATCAGACTTAATAACTTGTCATCCTTTGTATTCTCTCCTCCCCAGCAATAATAACAAACATGCACTAATGTGATGCGTTTTGTCTAAAGGTCTCAAATGTCTTGGTGTGCACCAAGGAGAAAACATAATTCATTTTGCTTAAACGTTGGTCCTTTCATCTTTCAAGCATTGTAATAGATTTTCTTGCTGATATTTACAAATTATCAAAGTTATTACTGATTAAAGAGATGTTTCTGTTTTCTAGTCTGCCATTTTCCACAGGATTCTAAAAAAAAAATGTAATATTTAACAGTGGCACCAGAAATAGACAATGTAGAAAGGAGAAACTTCTACTTTTTTATTTAAACCAGAAAGAAACAGAAAATAGTATTGTGTCTGTTTTCCTTCTTCCAGATTTATTGTAGTCTGAGGCTATATCTTTAAAGATTCAAGGCGATATGCTCCAGTGTTACGCAAATCAGCGTCATTGCATAGACTTAGAGGATCTGAAATGTACAAATTTAGCATATGTCCCTCAGAAAATATTTCAGTTTTATCCAGCTGATACTGAATTTAGAAATTAAAATGCTAATGATACCACCTTCTTATTTCCAGTTCCTATCGTGTTTTACATTATTCATTCTTAAAAGACTATTTCTTATATGATAAATCAGAACTGTAAACCACATGCATAAATTTTCAGACATTAATGTTACTTAAAGTACTCACAAGAAATCAGGATCTTACTTTCTCTCTTCCCCTCTGTCACTCTGAACTTCTACAGAGCCAAGACACTTTTCCTTATTGAAACATACTATGCATTTCCCCTACTCAAATTTAAAAAAAAAAGGCTTATCTGCATCTCTGCCATTCATTATATCCTCTCCACATTTTTGCAGAAGATAAAGGATGTTCTGCTAGAGATCAACAGACTGAGAGAATGGAGTCTGAATAGTGTTGTGGAAGGTGCATTCAATTCACCTTCTGATCTTGTGAAACAAAAAGGCAGCAACTGTATTGAAGGCTGAAATCCCCCAAAGAACATCTTCAAAGAAGAGGCCCAGAACTCTGCACCATTAGCAAAATGATACTGACAGGCAAGATGTGAGGGCAGATGGTAAAAAGAGTCAGAGTTGTCTTGGAGGAACAGAGCTGACTGGGGTGACACTGCTCTCTACAGGCTTCTGGGGTGGTCTCTGTCTCTAAAGGAGACAAACCTTCTTTCCCATCCTGTCCCATAGGGCTGGGACAAAGGCTGGACTCAATGATCTTCTACGTCTCTTCCAGCTGATACAATTCTATGATTCTAATGTTATTCTGAAATACCCCAAGTCTAGATCTACAAGTGTTTTCTTTCTTAATATAAGACTTTGGACCTTGGAGTCTTAATGGACAGTAAGTTGTCCAAAAGACAGCAATGTGCTCTCATGGCCAAGAGGGCCAATGGGATCCTGGGGGGCATTAAGAAAAGTGTGTTCAACAGGTCTAGGGAAGTTCTCCCCCTCTACTATGCCCTGGTGAGACCACACCTGGAATATTGTGTCCAGTTTTGGGCTCCCCAATTCAAGACAGACAGGGATCTACTTGAAAAAGTCCAATGGAGAGCTATGAGGATGACTAAGGGACTTGAACATCTCTCCTATGAAGGGAGACTGAAAAAACTGGGGCTGTTTAGCCTTGAAGGGCGATGTCTGAGAGGGGATGTTATTAACGTATATAAATATCCGAGAGGTGGGTGTCAAGAGGAAGGAGACAATCTCTTCTCAGTGGTGCCCAGCAATAGAACAAGGAAGAGGGGGTTTAAGGTAGAACACAGGAAGTTCCACCTCAACATGAGGAGAAACTTCTTTACTGTGAGGATGATGGAGCACTGGCACAGGCTGCCCAGAGAGGCTGTGGAGTCTCCTCTGGAGACTTTCAAAACCAACCCAGATGTGTTCCTGTGTGGCTGCCCTAGGGGATCCTGCTCTGGCAGGGGGGTTGGACTAGAGGTCTCTTCCAACCTGTAACATTCTATGATTCTATGATATGCAAGACCAAAAGTATTACAAGGAAATGGAACCCTTGAGCCCAGAGTGTGGCTGGGTGCTTAGGCTTCTGTGTCTCTTCCACACCCTGACCTTACATTCAAAATGCAGCTGGTTGGCCGATTGCCCATGATGTGCCATTCTCTGAAGCTGCATGTGACACATGATGCAATTAAGCTGAAAGGGGCTACAGAGCTGTGCTGCAGATGTGTAAGCTAGGGTAAACGTGAGAGATGAGAACTAATGGTGAAAGTCTCATGGCTTGGTACGTAAAACTTCACAGGTGTAAAGGACACTTCATGAAATGTCACTTGGTACAAGCCACCATTGCAAGAGTTATATAGCACAAAGCACTTGATTCCTAACCTGTCAGCTCGGGTCTCTTATCTAACCCTGTTCATATCTACACATATGCTCGTATCTAGCTGGCAACCACAGGGGAAAAGGAGAACGTAGTCTATAAATACTCATTGCAAGCATTAGTGCCTCTTTGCTGTTCTCTTCACATTTCTTGGTAGGAAAGGTAAAGTGCTGTCAACAGAAATTTTATCTCACTTCTCCCTCAGGGAACACAATTCTCCTAATGAGTTACTAATCATCTTAAGTCTTTCTTTAAAACTCTCAGCACTACATCCCTCCTATTTCTCTGCTAAGCCTCTAAAACTGCTTTAGTGCTTACAAAGCATTTGACTCAAGATTATATTTAAAAGGATCCTCCTCCTCTGAATTTTGAAGAATTGATACTTTACACTTTTATAGGCATAGATAGAGATCACAGTGTCATACCCTACCTGTATTCTCTCCTTCAGCTTCTGCGAATGCTTCTTCCTCTCATTTATCTTCTGGCTTTTCTCCTCTAGGTCTGCCTCCAGCTTCTTTACCTGCTGCAGCAAAAAGCCTTCCTCAACCTCTGAGCTCTTACTTTGCTCCACTTCTCTTTTTTGACAACTCTTCTTTGTTTCTAACACAGATTGATGCATCGCATTTTTCAAATCCTCTTTTTCTCTCCTATAAGAGTCTTGCAGTTTGCTTGTTTTCTGAGTATATTCTTCAGTTGCTCTCTGGTCCTCACTCTTTAGGTTTTCCATTCCATTTATTACAGCGTGTCCTTCCACACTGTATTTTTTATCTAAAATTATTTTTTTATCTAAATTTGCTCTCCTAGGTGCTTTGCATTCATTTAGCAGTCCATCAGACTCCTGATTTAAATTTAGAATCTTGTTTTGAAACTCTGCATTGGTATCTACCATGGCTGGGGAAAGGACTGTCTGTCCTTGTTTGATTTCTGTTCTTGGCTCCATCTCTTCCACCTGCTTCTTGAACAATGTTAATTCTGCCAAGGCTGCTTCCTTTAGTCTCTTATGCTGTTCTACAGCAATTTCAAGGGCCTGAATACGTTTTCTGAGCAATTGTTCTTCTTCAACTTTGCTTTTACACTGGAGAATCGTTTCCGTTGTCTCAGCAAGAATGTGTTGAATTTCTTCTTCATGAGCCTCCCTCAGAGCTTGTATACTAGCCTCATGCTCATCATTCTTAGTGTTCAGGGCATATATCACCTATAGAACAAGAAAAATAACAGGAAATTAAACTATCTAGTAAATGGTAGTTACAAATCCAGTTACTGTATTTATCAAGCTGTTAAATGCTAAAAGAGAATTACTGCTACAGTTTGGGGTTTTTTTGGTTGTTTCTTTGTGGTGTTGTCATTTGTCTTTTTTTTTTTTCACTAGGAACAGAAGGGACAATTATAAACTCCAAACCTTACAGGGAACTAAGAAAATAACCGTGCAAAACTATTTTTTTTTTTACTTTTTGTCAGAAATTGCCTTTTATATTCTTGGCAAGTTGTCACATCATGTCCCTAATTTGATCTCTGGTTCAAGGAATGAATTAAGGGTCCTTCTCTGGCTAACTGACTGCGTATTTGTAGTCCAGTTGACCTACTCAGTGCAGGAGGACTACCTGTCACATTGCCTTTAGAATTAGCAAGTTCTAGGGACCAGTAGTAGCAGATACAAAGTCCTGGCATCCAGTTCTTGTGGACATAAATCACTCTGTGACGAAAATGAAAAAGTTTGTAAGGAGAAGTAAATTTTATACTCCTGACTCAAATTAAAACATCACTGAAGATGGAAGCCATAAGCCTGGCAAGTTAGCTTGGTCAGCAGTTCAAGATAGAAATTACTCGACTGCAAGCAAGTTTTGGCTTGATTCTGAGAGGAGTTCAGGCAACAGATTTCTTTTCCTCACTTCAGTAACAGCTAAAAACCTTAGAAATCAAGTTTTAGCAGATTTGAGCAAGCCTCTGATGTCAAGAAGTAATTTTTTCAAACAATTCATTAAACCTTTTGATGTTTTATTTTCTTGTACAAAATCCAGAATAATAATTCTCATGCCTATAAGACAAATTATTACCCCAAGCAGGCTTCGTCCATTACCCACAACATACACCAAAGACAGTCTCACAGAAGCTGTTGGAAAAGTACACTACTATTGTTTTGATAGGAAAACGCTATCAGAAGCCCACAGTAGACTGAAATTAAGAATTCAGAACCAAAACTGGTAAATGTGCATGTTAAGCTTAAAATGTAGTTATATACAAATGTAAAACATACTCACATTGAAGACATATGCTTGTCTTCTCAGGCCCCCAGGAGGACACATGGGGTGTAATCCAGTTTCTACTGGGCATAGCTATTTAACTCAAGGGGAAAACCACATTATTTGTAACACATATGCGGAGGTTTTCCACTTGTTTAGTTGGTCTGGTTATTTTTAGCAAGAACTTATTGCTCTACAAAACTAGGGTTGGAATTTTTATACAAGTTATGGCAGACTTTCAGTCTGGCCTGAGACCATAGAGGTTAATCAAAAGATTCCTAGACAATGTTTGAGAAAATAAGTCTTAAGTACCTAAATAAATACAGAAGCAAGGTCAAAACTAATTATTTAATTATACTAGTATTTTGGCCTGGTAATCTTCAATGTTTCTTCTGGGAAAGCCTTAACTGAGCGACCAATAGGCATCTTGACCACAGTAAGTGTCACAGGTCTGTAGTCTGTTTCCTGTAAGCCCTGAGGACGTCTCCAGAATGGTTCGCTTAGCTATGTCTAACCATTCTCTGTGCTATCTGTACATGAATAACATATTGAATTTCAGTCATCCGTAAGTGAAAGCAAACAAACAAATACATCTTTTGTGAAGTCGACTTCACTTCCTCCCTAGCAGTGATGAATTAAGTACAGAAATCTTAAAAATTCACAAAGACAAAACATTGTCTGGATAAATTTCTGGATAAATATGTGGCAAAAGAGAGTAATGGCATCATACTCTAGAAGACAAGCAGACAAGAAGTCATTGTCTACATTTAGATACGTATATTTTTGGGGCCTTAGATTACATGCTGATAATTCTTTTCTGTTATTTTTAACCATTTTTCCTTTGAAACAGAAATAATTGCAGGATATCGAGCAGATTCCTTCTCCTCACTAACTAAAACCATTCTATGAACCTTTAACTGTTCTGGAGACAGACATAAAAACGACAAGAAGAAGATTAATTTTGCCCACAAGTTTAGAACGACCAGTAATTTTTCAATTTCTTCAAAACCAGTAACTCTTCAGTTAACCAGGTCAGATGTTGGTGATCAAATTTCTGTGTTTCATTCCACCAGCAAAACAGAGATTAACAGCCAGCCTTTGCGACTGAAAGACTTTCACTCTTAATGATCAATTTATATAGTAAATCAGCACTGCCTGTCTCTTATCATGTTGTGTTCAGGCTGACAGTGGATTTTGGATTCCTCTACAGTCTGATTTCATCACAGAGATTTCCCAAATTCCACTGAGCACCAGACCATCACAAATATCTTAAGTGAGTTATCTAAAGGAACATAAAAAACTGGCCTCCCTGCTCTACCTAATATTCCTACACTTCTGTTCAATAGTGGCTCGAACCACAATGAAGAATTTTGACTTGAAAATGCATGCCCTTAAATTCAATCTTCAAGCGTGAGTGCTGCAACTGATTTCTCAGTATCTTAATCCTCCTAAGAGATTTAATTTTTAGAGGGCTGCTGCTCTGTGCTTTATGAAATTTAAGCCACTCACACATGCCTTTCACTCCCTACCAAATATAGCGACTCTATTCCTATTCCAGATACTGCCTTTAAGAGGCTGGAGTTATGTGAGATGAACCTGGGACTTTACGTGCTGGAAGGAAAAATGCTGAAAAATTATTTCAGCAGCTGTACTTTGCAAGTGTATATACTGCTGACTAATATGCTATAAACTTCTTAAGAGTTATGGTGATAAACAGCTTTTTAAAAGCATCTCTGAAGTCAACCAGTTTGACAATATGGACAGAATCACTTTCAAACAGGGAGTGCTACATTACTCTGAATTACTTCAGGCCTGAGCTAGTGGGCACAAAATCCTTCCTGATGGAGAAATGGCTAAAAGAAAAAAAAAAGAAACAGAAGAATGAGACAAGGGGGTGCCAAACAGGGCACCCCTGGCAGCATCCTAAACACAGCACGGAAGGAGACAAGTTTTGATTGCTGATTATCTTGCTAGAGGCTCCCTGAGGTCAGGTGACTGCATTATCTTCTTTTCACTAGTAGCAGTCTATCTTATCTTTATCTACCAGGTGATCTGTTTCTCTGAATTCTGTCTCGTCTAATTCCCAAACAGATGAAAGCAGAGCACAGTATCTAAACACGCCAGCCTTAAAAGGGTCTTTCGTAAAGCAAAGGACAGAGAAATTATTAAAAGCAAATCCAGTTACTGAAACAAATGTCTCTGTATCCCTTAGCCTCCTCTGTAACTGTATGGATTAGAAAATAAAACAAACTCCCACCACTTATTAATTAATGCTGTAATAAGGTTTTTTTGTTTGTTTTTATTCTAACACTGAATAAGGAAGAACGTCTTTTAATTAAGATGCAGGCCTAGGCTATGATTAGCTACAGTGCTGTTTCAAATTTACACCAACACCGATTTCAATGATACCACTGTAACATATGACCAGGGACCTCATAAATTAAGTCTCATATCTCTCCTTGTGTCCTCTGTGACTTCCTGAAAGCACAAGAATAATTTTATGTCAAATAGTTGCAGCAATTGCCAGTAACATTATCCATTTATGTGTTTATATGAGAGAAGCCTTAAAAAAAAAAAAATGGAACTCCAAACATCCAGAAATGTTTCAGAACCTAAAATTATAAAAAAATCTTTAAAATCACAAGGAATTCTGTTCATATTGTTTATTTTTTTTAAAAAAAATTGCCTTATGATTTTTTTTTAGTCTTCCAGGTATGCCTTCAGCATTTCCTCTGTAATTAAAGCCAAGCTCCAGCTTTGTTTTCAAAAGCCAGAGTTGTGGGGAGAAATACCAAAAAGTTTCTTATGTGAGGTTTCAGATTACATAGTCTATTGTTCCGGTTTAAGCCAAAAGCAGAACCAGCTCTGTTCAGTGAGCTTACTTTTCAGCTGTTTCTTCTAAGAGGCTGCACTTTGTGAAGTGCATGTTTTTGCAGACCCTGTCTGCTACTGGAAGTGCTAATGCCTGATGTTTATAGTTACTACCAGGGATTGGTATGCAGAAAGGCTCTCACTGATATTTGTTCCTGTAGTAATGAAGGTCACAGCTAAAGCTTGTGCACCACACTGGGGTGCTGAGAAGTAACAGGCTCACAAGGAAGTGAAAAGTCACACCTCTAGGGAGAAACAGACAGGACAGGTAACCCAAACCTGACCAACAAAGTAGATAAACTGTATATTCCATATACACCATATTCAGTATTAAGCTGAGGAATCACACGAGTTAAGCATTCTTCTTGAATGACCAGCATCTGAGGACTCCATCTGTTCTTCTGTCTTCAATTTCAAGCCATGCGTTCCCAAATCCAGCTCTCGTCTGCCGCTGAGCCTGGGACCTCCCCCAGGCCTGCCTGCTCTGCATCATCAGTGGTGACTTCTATCAAGAGGTTGGGTTTCATATCAGTTTTATATATATTTGTATATTTTATTATTTTCATTGTTCTCTTAATAGTGCTATTACTGTTTCTTTAAAGCTGTTCTAGTTTTCTTTTCCAATCCTTAAGCCTCCGCCTTAGCCCCTTTGGGAGGAGAGAGGGGTTAATAGAGAGCATCTATCATTCACCCAGTGGTTGGATTAGCCCTAGCACTTGACTTCTATTACCACTCCATTCATTAGAAAAATACTTTAAAGTAAATTTCTTATAAAAAAGAAATATATAAAGTTTATGGTTCATTTATCCACTCACTGTGACATTACATTAAAATTACCTTGACTCAACACAGATCAACACAGTGCTGACGGTCACTTATAAAACAATAAAAGTACCTTATTTTAAGCCTTTCACTATCAGCAAGTTATTAAAAATAATTTTTGAAAATTTCCCAACCCTCAAATTTCTATTTATTCATGCATAGTGGGCAGGGATAACAAATTAACAAAGTCAGACATATAAAGAGTTTAGGGCCAACTTATGTTCCATCTTATTCATGAGCTCACACTCAGAGCTGAGAACCC